AGTAAGAATAATAATAGTAATAGTAAGAATAATAATGGCTGCTGCAGTTGGGGTTTGGATAGTCATCCGTCATGTAGTCCTTTCCTGTGATTCTTGCATTGCAGGGGGTTGGTCTGGATGACCTTTGGGGTTCCCTTCGAACTCTACAATTCAGGGTTGTCTCTTGCATCCCTAGCAGCTGCCTTACACCACCTGGAACTTGTTCCTCGCTTGCGAGAGAGCCAGGGTGCGGCTGCTCCTCCCAGAGCACTGCGTGACTGTTGCCCCACACGACCCCTTTTGCCATGGGGCGGGAAGCGACTGTGCTTCCAACCCTCCCCCAAAGTCCACTCTAGAAACGACTCCTAATAATGGTTTGCATGCACGGATGCGGCAAATGGGTTTGCAAAATTGCTGCGCCTTGCAAAAACAGGCTAGCAGCAAGCAGAACTGGCCACGGTTCTGTGTTAGGATAATAGAGTCTTGGAACTGTAGGGCTGGAAGATGCAATGTTGCTGATGGCGAACTCATGTCCTCCCTGGGTTTCCGTTCTGTGAAAAGGAGCTCCCCGCCCCCAGAAATCTAGCTCCTCCAGGTGATGCATCTTGGGACACAGGAGAAGGTGGGAAAAGTTTGTGTTACTGCATGAAAATACAAGCCAGTGTGGCCCCATAGTGTGGAACCTCAACCCCTTTGTCTCAGGTTCGGGGGGTGCTGGGACAGAGAGCTCAAGGCAAAATCCAACCTCTCTGCCTTTTCCTTCCACTGAAGTTCCTAGTCCTCATGAACTGTGATGAAAACACTCTCTCTTAACTCCTTAGTAAAGGTAAAGGGACCCCTGACCATTAGGTCCAGTCGTGACCGACTCTGGGGTTGTGGCGCTCATCTCGCTTTACCGGCCGAGGGAGCCGGCATACAGCTTCCGGGTCATGTGGCCAGAAGGACTAAGCCGCTTCTGGTGAACCAGAGCAGCGCATGGAAACGCCATTTACCTTCCCGCTGGAGTGGTACCTATTTATCTACTTGCACTTTGTGCTTTCGAACTGCTAGGTTGGCAGGAGCAGGGACCGAGCAACGGGAGCTCACCCCGTCGCGGGGATTCGAATCACTGACCTTCTGATCGGCAAGTCCTAGGCTCTGTGGTTTAACCCACAGTGCCACCCACGTCCCCTTAACTCCTTAGCCTCTGCAAAATTTCATACTGGATTTTGATGGGTATGTGTGTGTATGTGTCAGGGCCGGATTTAGGTTTGACGAGGCCCTAAACTACTGAAGGTAATGGGGCCCTTTATATGTCCAGCTGTCCTTTGTCAACAACAAATTGTCGCTGTTTTTTGTGTTGAACATATGTTATATGGTAATTGATGGACCCAATAAAGCCATTTGCGCATCACAAAATAGGAGCCTACACAACACAAAACACGGTTGCTGTATGTAGGTTTTATTTTATTTGTTTTTTATCTTATATTTTGGAAATGTGCATCCAGTTTTTTCCTTTTAATTTTTTTGGGGCCCCCCAAGAAAGTGGGGCCCCAAGCTATAGCTTGTTTAGCTTATATGTAAATCCAGCACTGGTGTTTGTTAGAGATAGAAAGACACACCGAGGGACCGTCTTTGTACAATAAAGGTCATTCACACAGCCACTCACAGACTTCCTTTTTTGGACATGGGCCAGAACCAAGAAGGTATACTTGAACCCTGGTTTAAGATCTCCTGATATTCTTCCCCCAGACTGCTTGGCGGTTTTCCCAGAGTTGAAATCTCAACTTTTTTTTTTTATGTGACCATAATTATCCTTTTCCCCAGTGGTCTTGAATTCCATCAGTTTAGAAAACGTTTGCGTGTGTAGGCTGGAGCAAATCGACTTAACAAAGGGAGAAATCTGTCTCTTTGCTTGAACTTCTATTGAACTTTTTGATTCCCAGGCTGTCAGCGAAAGCAAAATAGCTCCTAATTATGCTCTTCATTTATTAATTAGCTGGTGATGGCTGGAGGTAGCTTGCCATCCACCCCCAGATTTAATTCCCTACCTCGTTGCTCTTAATTGTAACAAACTATGCGGAAGAGCAGCACCAAAGTAATTTTCCCTTCTGGAAATATCTCTCTCTGCTTTGGTCACTCAGATGGGAAGATCTATTAACCGCTGCATGTCTGGACCGGATAAGATTGCGGCTTTGACCTCTTAGTGCCCCTTATTTTAACAGAGTCAGCTTTGCAGATTGCAGCAAGGAGTTCAACTGCAAAGAGCAGACTCAAGATGAGACAGGGACAGCTCAGAGGCGCTCCATCTCAATTATCTTTCTCTTCCTGGTGTGTGTTGGGAATAATAATAATAATGATAATTTATTTATACTCCACCCATCTGGCTGGGCTTCCCCAGCCACTCTGGGCGACTTCCAACAAAATATTAAAATATCATAATACATCAAACATTAAAAGCTTCCCTAAACAGGGCTGCCTTCAGATGTCTTCTAAAAGTCTGGTAGCTGTTGTTCTCTTTGACATCTGGTGGGAGGGCGTTCCACAGGGCGGGTGCCACTACCGAGAAAGCCCTCTGCCTGGTTCCCTGTAACGTGGCTTCTCGCAGGGAGGGAACCACCAGAAGGCCCTCGGAGCTGGACCTCAGTGTCCGGGCAGAACGATGGGGGTGGAGACGCTCCTTCAGGTATACTGGGCCTTTGAGGCTGTTTAGGGCTTTCAAGGTCAGCGCCAACACTTTGAATTGTGCTCGGAAATGTACTGGGAGCCAATGTAGGTCTTTCAAGACTGGTGTTATGTGGTCCCGGCGGCCGCTCCCAGTCACCAGTCTAGCTGCCGCATTCTGGATTAGTTGTAGTTTCTGGGTCACCTTCAAAGGTAGCCCCACGTGGAGCGCATTGCAGTAGTCCAAGCAGGAGATAACCAGAGCATGCACCACTCTGGCAAGACAGTCTGTGGGCAGGGAGGGTCTCATCCTGCGTACCAGGTGGAGCTGGCAGACAGCCGCCCTGGACTCAGAACAGACCTGTGCCTCCATGGACAGCTGTGAGTCCAAAATGACTCCCAGGTTGCGCACCTGGTCCTTCAGGGGCACAGTTGCCCCATTCAGGACCAGGGAATCCTCTACACCCTCCCGCCTCCTGTCCCCCCAAAACAGTCCTTCTGTCTTGTCAGGATTCAACCTCAATCTGTTAGCCGCCATCCATCCCCCAACCGCCTCCAGAAACTCAGCGTTCAGCCAGGAGCCTAACCCAAGGCTTATTCTGACTCCCATATTATCGTTTCGTTTCAGGCGAGAAGGAACCACAGGATCACAGAACCACAGAATTGTAGAGTTGGAGGTGTGTTTGTGTGTGTGGAGGTTACGGTCATTTTGCAAAAGCTCTTTGCACATGCTCAGAGGCTCCCACTTACTACAAAGCCAGGGCAGAAACCCTGGCTTTTCATGCCTCGCCAGCTATTAAATCTTTCGGCAGCTTTAGGCAAGCAATCCTTTTTTTTCCCTTTGCTTTCCCGCCCGCCCAAAGTGGACCTCGAGGCTGACCTACTCTGCAAGGTTGTTGTTATATGCTTGCTCATATAATATCTTTGCAAAGCGGCTTGAGCATGTGAGAACACTGCTTATCGACATAACACATTGGGGAGCAGCCTCTAATCGATAGGCTGTCATTTCCAGCGAAGACAGATGTTAATTTGTGGAGCTTTAATTCCCTCCGAATTTTTCCTCCATTACTCTAATGCGGTGTGTGGGGAGTGGTGGCTTTCGAGGGGGTGTTTTGTGTGAGGTTGCTGGATCAGGCCAAGCAGTTGGAAGGGACCCCCAAAGGCCATCTAGTCCAACCCGCCTACAATGCGGGAATTCTAGTGCTGCAGAAATCTGCATAGTCGACGCAGGAATCATAGTCCAGCAACCTGTTCTTACAGTGACCACCCAGATGCCCCAAAGTCTGAAAGCAGGATTCGAACACAGAGCCCTCTCCCTTCCAGTGGTTTCCAGCAGCTCACTTTCAGAAGCATTGCCGCTTTCAAATGTGGATCCTGGCTACTAGCCATTAATAGCCCTCCGTGAATTTGTCTAATCCTTTTCTACGGCTGTGCAAGTTGGTGTGCAAGCTGCACGAAAAAGGGCTTTATTTTCTCCGCCCTGAATCTTTCAGCGCTCCTGGGCCCCTCAGGATAGGCTTGCATCCCTCCTTAAATATATCTCGTGCGTGCAAGTTCCTGATGTCCTTGACGTCAAAATTCCAGCCTGAATTCATCCTTTTTAAATCTAAATTTGCCCCTTTCTGGGGGAAATCGAAATGCTGTTCTCTTTTTCCCCCTTCCCCTGCTTCATCTGGAAGCCCCCCATGGAATAACGAAAGAGGCTATTTAAAAACAAAGTAGGTTTTTTGTTTCGGAAGGATATTGCTTTTTCAGTCAACACTTCACATTAGCTAGATTGAGCTTTGGTAATGCGCCAAAATATGAAATATTGGGCGATTGCGCGGAAGAATCTCGACATGAATCTGCTGGAAATTATTTAATCGGCTGACAGCCTTTATTGCTCTGGCGGCTTCATCCGTTCTGGGGTTCAGCCCTCTGGCTGAAACAGGTCCAGGGGCTAAAAAGCCCAGATGGATGCCCCTTTTGGCTGCGTGATCGGCCTTGTGGGTGCAGGGTCCCAGCCGCTGGCTACTCCTAGCAGCCTCCGGGTGACATTTCCCCCATCTCCGCAGGCCATCTCCAGTGTTTCCTCAGCCCCTCTGGGGAACTAGTCCTCATTAAATATGTCACGTCAGATAGCAGTGGCGCCAAAAGCAGATGCTTGTGTCATTGATATCTGCAAGGATTTCAATGCACAACCTCCCCCAAGCATTCAGGAGGGTTTGCTGAGTTTATTTCTGCCAGCGCTCTCACAATATGATCTATAAATCCTGTGCCTTACTCCCAGATATTGCAGTTATTTTCTGGTGAGGTTCTCCGCATGTGCCCTTGCGCTGTTGGTTGGGGAATTCAGAAACTTGAGAATCTCTTGTTCTACTTTGTTTTAAAAAGATCCAGCTGGATAGCTCAGTTGGTTAGAGCGTGCTGCTAACGCCAAGGTCACAGGTTCGATTCCCATAAAGAACAGCTGCATATTCCTGCTATTGCAGGGGGTTGGACTAGATCAGGCACGTCCAACAGGTAGATCGTGATCTACCGGTAGATCACTGGACATCTGTGGTAGATCACTGGTACATCACTGGGCATCCCCAAGAGGCTCAACAAGTTTGGCTCCCCCCTGTTATGGAAAAATCTAGGTGCAAGGCTCCTCAGTTTGATCTTCTTGCAGTCCATGGGACTCTCAAGAGTCTCCTCCAGCTCCATAATTCAAAAGCATCCATTCTTCGGCGATCAGCCTTCTTTATGGTCCAGCTCTCACTTCCATACATCACTACTGGGAAAACCATAGCTAACAATGAGCTCAGCAATTGTCACCTCTGGGAACTTCCTGGAGTCCTTTTTCAAGGGGAAAATAGCTTTGGAATGGAGGAAACTGGCAAAGGGGTTGATTTTATATTATTTTTAAAGCTAGGTAACTTCCCTGAGCTGTCATAATATTTGTAACATTTAACTTTAAAGATGTGCCCCCCCCGTAATTTCCATAACACCCCCAAAAAGCTCAATATTTTTGCCCTGGACCCCTAAAAAACGTGGCTTTCGCCTCCCTAAAAAGAAGCTCAACGGCTTCAACCTGACCCCCCCCCCCATGGGCCTTCCTCCTTCCTAAAAAAAGCAAAAAAAGCTCATCAACTTTGACCTGAACCCCCCCCCCCAAGGGGGTAGATCACTGCCAGTTTTTAACTCTGTGAGTAGATCTCTGTCTCTTGGAAGTTGGCCACCAATGGACTAGACATAGCTGCCAATGTTTCCCTTTTTTTAAGGGAAATTCCCTTATTCCGAATAGGATTCCGCATGAGAAAAGGGAAAAGTTGACAGCTATGGGACTAGATGATCCACAGGGTCCCTTTCAACTCTCCAGTTCTATGATTCTAGTCCTTATGATTGCCAAAATAAGCTTGGGACCTGTCTCAAATAGCTGGCCGAGGGGTCTAACAGGAATTCCAGCAGCTAGCGGCTTGCCCACCTTGAGATGATTAAATTGCGCAAAAATAGGCAGGAGGATGTAAGTTCATTTAACCTGCATAAGAAGTGTCCGCTGGATCAGGCCAAAGGGGGCCTATTTAGTCCAGCATCCTGTTTTCACAGTGGCCAACTAGATGCCTTTGGGGAAACCAGCAAGCAGGATTCAGAAACATCAGTGAGAGCAGAGCATAACCTTTGATAGCTCTCCATAAATGTGTCAAATCCCCTTTTTAAGAGGTCCAAGCTTTTGGCCACCCCTGTCTCCTGTGGGAGGGAATTCCTCAGTTTAATTACATGCTACGTAAAGAATTCCTTCCTTCCTTGTATGGGATGTGAAACACAAGAGCAGTCAAGTACAACATTCCTAGAGTGAACATGTTTGCACATGGGGAGGAATGTTTGTCCAGCCAGCAGGTCAACTTCCTGTTTCCTTCTGGGCTGGGACAGACTTCCTCTGCATGGGACTAGAGGTGGGCGTGGCCTCACCTGTGCAGGTAACGACAAGAGCACAGGGCAGGGCAGCCATCTCTCTCTTTTTGACTACATGCATTGAAGAAGCAACATCTGCTTAGCCAAAGATGCTCTCTTGGCAAGAGAGGACAAAGGGACTGTCTCCTTATGAGATAGTTTCCAGGTGTATGTTACTTTTCTAAGCTAAGTCTGCCTTCTGGGATCCGATTGTGAACAGAATGTGAGTGAGTAAACTCTTTTTATACTTATATAGAAGACTGTGCCGTGTCTTATCTTTTATGAGGGAATAAGGGGGAAATACCAGAACAGTTATTATAGAGGCTTTAGCGAGCCTGAGCAAACGCATCCGCTGTGAGTTTAAAAAGGGGAATGTTACTCTGCTAAATTGTGAACTTGTTAACACAAGTTGGAAAGGCTATCAGACAGTATATCCTCTCCTGCATCCCTGAACATTCCCACACCTTCAGCTTCATTGCATCGCTGGATCCAGATTTTCTGGGGCTTGTGCGGTTCACCTGCCGGGACCTCCTAGCCCAGGGTCTCGGTGCGGTTGTGCGATTGACGGCGGCCTTAGCATGCGAATGCCTGTGCCTTTTGTTCCAGATGCTCTTCTCACGTGGCTCCCTGCCCTCTTTTTCTTTCTTTTGCATCCTTGTGGTGCGTTGCATCGCCAGTGGCGATGGCGAAGGAGGGAGGCCAAGGCAGGAGGGGGGGAGGCCTCTTCGCGAAGAGAGCTGGTGACTCAGCCCCCGCTGTGGCGGGGGGAGAGATGAGGGTGCCACTCACTGTTGGGCATCACCTGCCCACAGGCAGATTCAAGCCTTCCCCTCCTTTCTGCGAAAACCTTGGCCTATCGTCCTCGTTGCAGGTAACAAAAGCAAGATAGATACTTGCAGCAGCTTCCACTGTTGTGTCTTTCATGTTCTCCTCCTCAGTCTAAACCGGGAGTTTGGAGTGCCACCATCCCCTCGGTCTATTATTATTATTATTATTATTATTATTATTAAAATAATAATTTATTATTTATACCTTGCGCATCTGGCTGAGTCTCCCCACTGAGAGCCAGTGTGGTGTAGTGGTTAAGAGCGGTGGACTCGTAATCTGGTGAACCGGGTTCGCTTCCCTGCTCCTCCACATGCAGCTGCTGGGTGACCTTGGGCTAGTCACACTTCTCTGAAGTCTCTCAGCCCCACTCACCTCACAGAGTGTTTGTTGTGGAGGAGGAAGGGAAAGGAGATTGTGAGCCGCTTTGAGACTCCTTCGGGTAGTGATAAAGCGGGATATCAAATCCAAACTCTTCTTCTTCTTCTCCTCTTCCCCAGCCACTCTGGGCAGCTCCCAATTGAGTGTTAGAAACAGTAGAGCATCAAACATTAAAAACTCCCCTAAACAGGACTGCCTTTAGATGTCTTTTAAAAATAAGGTAGCTGCTTATTTCCTTGACATCCGATGGGAGGGCGTTCCACAGGGCGGGTGCCACCACTGAGAAGGCCCTCTGCCTGGTTCCCTGTAACTTGGCTTCTTGCAGGGAAGGCCCTCGGATCTGGACCTCAGTGTCCGGGCAGAACGATGGAGGTGGAGACGCTCCTTCAGGTACCGGTATACAGGACCAAGGCCGTTTAGGGCTTTCAAGGCCGGCACCAACACTTTGAATTGTGCTCGGAAACGTACTGGGAGCCAGTGTAGGTCTTTCAAGATGTGGATTTTGGGGAGTGTGACTGGTTTGCCGTCACCAGATGCCAAGTCAAGAGGGTGCTGTGGGGGCCTCCCAGACCCCTCAAAGCTCCTGATTTATTCGGGACATCACCTGACTTCTGTTCCCGATCCCAAACATCCCGATTTTGCTTCCCTACGCTGGTCGCGCCAGAGCGAGGGACCGAAAGATGGGAGGCGTCGCAGGTTGGGCGTTGCACGCTGCTGAAATTTCAAAGCCCAAAGTCTGCCACTGCCCAGATCCTCAGATTTCAGGGACCAAACCGGAGACCTAGGTGGGCAGCCCCTGGTGATGTCATGAGGACCCCCCAGCGGTGATGGAAATTAATTGGGAGAGGGTAGTAGAGAAGGGCAGACCTTCAGAGTCTATGCTGTAATTTGCAGCTAGCTCCCACTGAGCGAAATCTTGCAAGCTGTGTGGAATCATTCTTTCATATATATATATATATATTTGCTCATCTGTAAATTCAAGCGCTCTGGGTCAGGCTTGGAAGTTTGGCAACCCTATTGGTGCATGGAGTGTGCACTTCCTTCCTTCTGTAGAAAATGTCTCCTGCGTTGGAGACCTGCGTAGGGAGTAGCCATAGTTGTTCGGAGATCTGGGAGTATGTTTGGAAAAGGGCGTAATTTTTCATCGCAGGCCAGGCTACCGAAAAAAGCCGTCTCGAAGTGCTAATGGTACATGACACCGGAGAGTCTCCACATGATTCATATGAATTTAGACGATGGATGCTGGGGCCGTGAATGTGAATCAATCTTGCTCTTATCGACTCGTGCAAAGATGGCATCTGTGCATTGCGAGATAACTAATACTGTCTGGGACCGTTGCCACCTGACTCTTGTTACGCGAAATATTGGAGAGAGCCTGGCACATAGCTGTCAACTTACAGATTTGAAAATAAGGGACCAGCAGCCTCGAAAATAAGGGATCAGCAGCCAAAATAAGGGATTTTCCAAGGGGCACAGGTATGTTCAACTTCTGAGCCCCTCCGAGTCAAAGGCAGAAAGCCCAGCCAGCAGCCAAACGTAGCCTCAAGCGGTGGTTCCCACAGCGCAGCAACCCGGCATAGGGGATGCAGCAAGGAAAACCACGTCACCTCTCTGCTGGGAAGTGCTGAGCAAAGGCGAGTCCCCAGGCAACGCGGCCAATTTGATTGGCACAAGGCATGCAAGCTCCACCCCCCAGTCGTTCTCAGACTCCTTATTGGGTGAGCAACGCAGCCAAGCAACACAGTTGGAGCCTCCCTCCTCCCTGGCCGGCAGGGAGGGAGGGAGAGGAGCTGCTTCCTTTGAAACCCAGGAAATTTAAGGGACATCATCAATAAGGGACAGCAGTGGGACACGGCGCTGGGATGAATCCCATTCTGGCAAATCTGTACAGGCTGCATAAGAGGCTTGGAAGAAGGCATGATAAAGTAACAGAGAGAGAGAGCCAGTGTGGTGCAGTGGTTAGAGTGTTCCTGGGAGAGACTGGCTGGATGCAGAGGAGCGGTGGGAGAGCTGGGGACCCCCAGGGGAAGAAGGCTCAGAGCCAGGGGGTTGGTGGTGGGATGGCGATGAAGGATCAGAGGGAGAAGAGGGAGCAGGAGGTGTTGGAAGCCAAAGGGGCAGTAGGGTTCAGTGAGCAGGAAGAGGCTGAGGGGCCAGGAGACAGATGAAGCATCTCTGCTGAAGAATCCAGGGCATAGCTGTCAGCTTACAGATTTGAAAATAAGGGACCAGCAGCCTTGAAAATAAGGGATCAGCAGCCAAAATAAGGGATTTTCCAAGGGGCACAGGTATGTTCAACTTCCGAGCCCCTCTGAGCCAAAGGCAGAAAGCCCAAC